TTCTGCCATTCAGGACACAGGTGAAGAGGAGGGCTGGTGGCTTCCAGTTAGCCTTCATTTTATTTCTGCTCAGAGAAGGTGGCACTGCTTGTGTCCACTAGCCTGCCAGGAACTGCCACCAACTCACTCAGACTGTCGGCACGACACGCACTTCGCTCCACAGAACCTGATTTTCTCCAAAGTTATTTGACCAAAAGTTGCATTTTCAAGAAATTAACAAAGACCTTGAGGCAGAACTACGCCTCATGGCCAGTCTTTCCTCCTTACTACTTAGTGTTCGCAGAATTTATGAATTTTTATTTTCCAGATGAGGAGAACGTAAAAAGTCTCTCATCAGCTAAGGGAAGAAACGAGAAGACAGATGCTGTATTTTGCTCCTTTCTCAACAGCAGGACTCGGAGGGAACCCAAGCAGGACACCATGGTCCAGGTCTACTTCTCCTCCAGTAAGACCTCGCCCCTGCCCTCCTCCCATCAGTCACTGGCCAGAAGGGGCAGAACGGCCCAGTGCCGGTACCACGGGAGGTCAGCCAAGAGCCAAGGACACGAGAGGGAGAGGGAGCAGCTGGCCACGAGCCCGCCCCAGGCCCGCCTCCCCCCTTCACCCTGATTCCACCCTTCACGGGGCTCAGGGAGAGGGCACCAGATGCCTTCTATTAATTCAGGGGTAAATCCTTCTTGGCCTCCACATGTCTATTTTAGGTGTCAACGTGGCAGGGCTGAGGGACGCAGAGACAGGTGAAGCATGACCCTGCAGTGTCTGTGGGGCACTTGCAGAGGACCAGCAGGCCCTGGAATGGGCCTAAGGGCAGTCCACCCTCATCCAGTCCTGGGTGGGGATGATCCAACGGGCTGAGGCCCCAAGAAACGAAAAGGCAGAGGGCAGGCGAAGTCCCCTTTCTTCTCCTGCCCTGGGACTCCAGAGCTCCAGGTGCTCGGCCTGTGGACTTAGACTGGGCCACACCAACCCCCGGGTCCCCAGCAGGCAGGCGGCCTGTGGTGGACTGCTCAGCTCAGCAGCCGCACGGCATGCCCCTGGCAAGCCCCTCACATCCACCTCCCGCTGCCTCGGACCCGAACTGACTGGCACACTGTCAAATCCTCCCCGAAGTCACTCAGGGCTCCACAGCCCAGAGTTCCCGTGAGTGGTCGGACCAGGCTGAGCTGAGGTCTCCGAGTCTCGCACCAGCACTCTCCACTGCCGTGCAGTCTTCGCAAGACACATCGGCACTCTATCAGTAGGAGCACTGGGAGCTTTTCAAGGAAGAAGTAATAACAAAGACTGCCAGGGAAGAAACTGGACTCCGTCCCATCTTTAGGTGACTCCTAACTCCCCTCCCTCCACGTGTCCTCCCCTCTTCCTCCTCCCTGAGGACCATCAGCCCGGCACACAGGCACCCAACTCAAAGCACACTCCCAGGCCGTGCAGCAATGTGTGGCTTGTGACTCAGTTCTCAACACAGAACAGATGTGACATGTGCCCCCACCCCCACCCCAAACACTGGCAGCAGGAGAAGACAGAGGCCACAGCGAGAGAGACGGCCATCTGTCCCTTGTGGGAGACCCTCTTCTGCAGCCACGGTGGCAGCAGCTTGGCCTAAACGTTACTGAACATGCCATCTTATTCTTCCAAAATCATGTTGTATGTTCATTTTTAAGTTTGTCAAAAATCTCTGCCTGATTAAGTGAGCAATTGATGTAGCAAAATTCCTTTTTAATTAGATTCCCAGGCTGTCCTTTGGATTTCTGGCAATACTGGCTGATCTTTTAATCAGCTGAAACCTCTCCATCCCGGCCTCCTGATCCTCACGCAACCCCCGCCCTCCCTCTGCCTGCTCTGCCTTGAACAACCTTGCACACACCTGGCTGCTCCCCTCGACCACGTGCCACAAGAGCCACGTGTGCTGCTCTGTCCCCTGCAGGGACTCCAGTGGCTAGCTCAGCACCGACACACAACAATATTTCCTGAACAAAAATATTGTTCGTCCACAGAGCTACAAAAATCCACACCCTGTGCAGCTGGAACGCCTTGAACTGAACTGCGGAGTACACAAGACACTCTCCTAAGTTGCAGCACCTGGGGGCAGCTGGGACTTCTGAGGTCGTCACAAAGTCACTTCAAAGTCATATTTCAAAGAATACAATGCTTCTTCAGAGTGATCCTGGGGACTCTTACAAACATTTAATTTCAATTATTATTTATCTCTTAAATAAAAAAAAAATCAACACACTGAGCACTTTCAAAATAAAATATGATAATTTTATATTCTTAGCTCTTAATTACTGAGCTATGCTGTCTTCTTTATTCTTCACACTGCTTCCTGGGTATTTTTTTTTTTTTTAAAGTCAAAAAAGATACAGCGGGCTGGGAGGATCAGTGGCAGAACACTTGCCCAGCATGCACAGAGCCCTGGGTTCAATCCCAGCAGGCCAAAAAATACAAAGCACCACCAGGAAGAGGAGGACTCTGAGGGACACACCCCTGCATCAGCACTGATAACCTTCACCAGTCAAGAAGACCCCTGTGCTCTGACAACAGAACTGGGCACCCATCTGCACAACGACACCTGGGCACTTTACAGATCTGGGTTGATCTCAACTAGCCTTTCCAGCTGTGTCTGGCTCGTGGGGCCCAAGATGTGCTGGTACCCCAGGATCGGGAGATCATGGTTTGCCGGCTGGTTTGGAGGCCTGCCCTCTGTACCTGGGGCAAAGCTGCATCACTTTCTGGAGGCCCATGAGAGCCTGCAGAATGGAGGGGGAGGATCACTCTTTCAGTACTCAGTCCTGACACTTGTTGTGAGCACCTTGCAGGGGCCATGAGAAGGAGGAGGGACGTCACACCATTCATCTCACACCTGCTCCAAAGACACCCATGCTCCCCACAAGGGAAGACCCCAGTCATTCTCTGACCCAAATCCCAACCCAGAATCTGCCTCCACTAGCAACCTTAATTCCAGGAAGGAATGCTCCCCCAAATCCACCATCAGAATCGAAGGGTGATTCTGGGTGAAAGAGGGTGCAACGTGGCATGGCCTGGGTAACCTGCAAGACCACCACAGCACAGAAAAGGACAGCACAGGGCACACTGTGTGCACCAGATCCCCCTCATGCTGATAGCAGCAAAAACAGGGGCCATTCTCCTGTCAGGCAAAACTGCCCAACTCCGAGGTGACTGACCAGCCTGTCTGAGGGCTGAGGCTCACACTCACCTAAAAGCCCGGCTTGGGGGCCGGGGGGAGGGGGTGCATTTGACTGCTAAACAGTGTTAGTTCCTTTTAAAAAGCAATGTTTTTTGCATATCTTACATTTCAAGAGTGAGCTAAGCCAGGCCGGGCTTGTCAGGACTGGGATCTGGGAGCTCTCCGCCAACACCTGCATGGAGCCACGCTGGACAGAACCAGCAAAGCACCTTCCTCCCGCTTCCCGAGGGCTGTGTGCGCTCGCGGGCAAGTCCAGAGGGGAAAGGCCGCTGGGCCCGCCTGCTCCGTCCAGCAGCACGTCGGGCATGCTGGCAAGGGACGAAAGTGGACAGGTGTGCCACTCCTGCCTGGCTGGACCGGACATCTGATGCCATTCCTCAACAATCACACCCCTCCCTGGCTTCCAAGATGACGATGTGACGCGCTTACTTGGAGCAAAGTTACCATCCGAATTATGAAGCCGCCACGGTTATCAGCTCCACAAAGCTAACAAACTTGTTCTGAAATACTTTAACCAGCTGTCTCAGGTAAGATGATTCCAGGCAAAGTGCTTCACTGCTTCTATGAATGAATTCATTGGTTCCCCAGGTGGTTTCAAAAGCAAACCTATAGTTTTCAGTAAACTATAAAAAGCAAGCAGCAAAAATAAGTAAGGAATAGCCTGGTTCCTTTTTCATGCAACTTTAAAAAGGGGAAATGAAATGGATACAGAATTATCTCCAAAACCAGGACAGTAAGAAAAGGTCTGGGGCCTGTCACACCAGCGCCATACTTACTAGATCCAGTGCAGAGCCTCCGCCAAGGTATTCCATTATTATCCACAATTTAGTATCCTACACAGAAACAAAAAAGGAAGAAGTTACTTTAAAAATAAAGCCAGAAAAAATATTTTAAATATTTGGAAAGATTGTTTTCACTGTTATTCAGGATCCAGAAAGTTTTATAAACACATAGCAACAAGGAAGCATGTCTAGGTGAGGCCGGGCACCCATCCCAGCGTGCAGGAAGCCGCCCACACCCTGCAGGGCAGCGGCCATCCCCGGGACCCTGCCACAGCTCATGTAGGGAGTGTGTTCCAGACCTCCAGACCAGACCCCAGGCCCCCTTCAGGACTGCACTGTGCCCAGCCCTCAGAACGTACCAGAGGTCCCTCCCCAGTCCCCACATGAGTGTCACCACAAAGACTCGGAAGAGCCTTTCTAGACCGAGTCCCAGTTTCCCAGCCTTTTTGCTCTTGCAGTCTCCCTCTCCACCTGTAGATCCGTCGTCCACTTCAGACTTATTTCTCTATATTTTCCACTTCACAGGGAACTAAAAAGTGCCTGGTGCTCTGAAGCTCAGGAAAGGCCGACTGCAGTCCCCTTCGCTCCTCGGGAAAGGTGACCTACATTGCCGGCCTTCCCCTGTTAGGAGGCACTGAGGCACACTCTGCATTTGTGAAAGAAATTCCTTTTTCAACTTAAACTACATCCTGCCATCTGGAGTTTTCTAAGATAGTCCGACAGCCCAATGCAGAATACGTGGTCAAGCTTTTCATGCCCCAGATCACTGAAGAATGAGTGCAAGCTCCGTCTTGCTGGGGTAGGGCAGAGCCTCGAATGAGGTGCCTGAGTCCCTGTGATGGGGACGGACACGGCACGCACTCAACAGCCATCAGTCCTAGGTGACTACTTGGAAGGGGCAGCTGAGAGTAGGGCTTTCCATTCCATGCCCCATGATGTCTCAGTGCTCATTCTAGAAAATGTCCCGTCCCAACATTCCTTTCGTTTCCTGAGTACACTTGCTTAAAGATCTCAATTAACTGGCTCATGGCACTGCTTTCTCTAGGCATTTCAGAAATGTCCTATCTGATGGTCAGAAACACACTAGTTCAGGGAAGATGACACAGGAAACCTACGTTTTCTCTAAGAGGCTTTGGAACTTTCAATTTCTGTTCCCACTCCCTTTTGTTTGGCTTCTGCTTGACTCAGCTCCCATCCCTTTTATTATCTGAGCATTAAATATGCTAACAGCAAGATAAGCTCTGGGTAGGGAGGCCAAGTCCCCTGGCAGCCTCTCCCCTCTGCAGCTAGTTGTGCAAGGACCCACTGGGAAGCAATATTTCAAAGACTTGGGGAAGGTCACAATGCTGCTTCCTGAAACAGCAATAGCAGTGGCCACACCCTCATCACTTCCACTGGACCCTCCCAAGATCCACCCTTCTCAGAGAATGTGCTGCTGCTCTCTTCCAGCCTCTACCTAACAAGGGAGGTAACTACCTACCCAGGGATTTCCCCTCAAGGAAGCCCCAGCAGGGAGCTCTGACCTATTTTTCCATCATCCTAAGTTGGGGGGATTTCCCCCCTCTGCAATCGTAGGCAGCAGAGGCAACTGACCGCCCAGCCCAAAGGCCAAAGCCCGCCCTCCCTCCTGGAGAGGCTGTGGAAAGCCCAGGCTTGTCTTTTACAGCCAGCTCCTTCTGGGTAGCAAAGAGGCGGGGGATGCTACCCAAACGCCAGGCCCACCAGCTTCCAGGGAACTTAGGAAACACCTTAAGTCCTAGTTCAGGTCACAGCCTCCCGTGACTAATGTACTTCTGCTTCTGGGTGCCTACCCCACCGCACCTGCTGAGGCATGGGATGGTAAGTCCTCCTCTCAGCTGAACTTGGGTGTGCACACTACTGCAGCCACTCAAAGTCACCCGGGAAACGGCCACGGCTCGGGGCTCTCAGGTCAGTCCCCAAGGCTCCATGGACACCAACTGAAGGACAAAACAGCTAACAAACAAGGAGAGTGACAGGTGGACGAGGACCTGGAGCACTGCTCACCCTCCCCGATAACCACTTTCACCCCCAAACCCTAAAGCAAGAACCCTCAGAAGGGATGCAAGTCACCCCTCAAGGTCTGGGGTGCTGGTGTGGGGGGGTGATGGGTTCCCAGACCCTGTGGACACCAAATCTGCCAATGTTGGAGTTCATAAAATGACTGTCTGCATACAACCTACTCACATCCGCAACCACGTGCTCTAAACCACCTCTAGACGGCCAGCATGCCTAACACGTCGCACGTGTGACGCAGGTAGCCGTCATGTGGCTCTGTTTAGAAAACAAGGTCAAGGAAGAGTCTGCACGTGTTCAGTACTGACACAGTTTTCTTTCCCTGAGAATTTCTGATCCAGACTTGTCTCTACAGATGGGGAACTCAAGGATACAGAAGGCTGACTCAGCTGTCCACCAGTTTTGCTTTCTGAGGTTTTTGCTACCAATAGTCAATTAAGGTGCAAAAATGTGTCTTGAATCTTCAAGAGACAAAGACCCTCGTCACATGACTTTCATTACAGCATACTGTTATAACTATTTATCATCATATTGCTGGTTTCTTACTGTGCCACAGTCTGATTTTACCACACACATGTATGCACTGCACACACAGGGCTCAGCACCACCCACGGCCTCTCCCCAGGACCAGGGGACTACTGTCCACTGCCATTCTTGCTAGAGGACTATGGCAGACTCTCCTGGACACATTGGGCAAGCTCCAGATCCCTCGTCCAAAAAAAAAAAAAAAAAAAAGTAGACACTTCAAGTCTCACAGTCCAAGAGACAATAAAATGAGATAACCAAGTGAAAGTTCAAGATACTAAAATACAGAGCGTCACGAGCTTTATCACTGTCCTACCCATAAATGCCTTGAAATAACTGGCCCAATTAACAGAACTCACTAGTTTCTGAGCAAAATGAAACCTGGACCAATGGTTCATCGGCCTTCTACCCTGGAAGCCTGGGGCCAGAGGGCCTGAAAGCAGGGCCTGGCCTGGCCTGGCCTGCCCAGCAAAGGACCCAGGAAGACCACTGCCCTCCAACCTACAGAGCATGGCTCACTCTCCAGGAAGAAATATGAGCAGGTGTTCAAGGAAAAGCAATCTGAACCAGAGTAATCTTATTCTTTAAGTCAACCTCAAACAATATAAATTATGAATGACCTCATGATATAATTTTCTCATAAGGGAAATAAATATTTAATAAGTAAATTCAGGAGTCAATATTTTGGAAAGGTAACAAAGTACATACAGTGAGAAGGTTCCCTCCCATCCCTGCCCCCAGATGTCTGGACATATGCCCACAAGTTGCCCGATCCACAGACAAGCAAATTCCTATAAAATCTTTCTCCTCTTTTACCCAAACGGTAACAGTCAGACACATGTGGCACGCTTTTGCTTTTACTAAAATTTTCCTAGCATGCCCTGGAAACCCACCTAGGGCTTGCTTTGTCTTGCCATAACCAGTCCAGGCTCTGGGGACATTAGGTGTTTAGGAGCCAGGTGTCCAAGAAGAACCTCACACATCTGTCATTCTGCCATCAGAACCGAGGGGTCAGGGATCCATCAGAACTTTAACAGATGCATTCTCGTCCTTTGCAGAGACAGTTATTTCCAGTTTTGTTGTTATTTTATGAGCTGAACTGCTGCCCCCCCCCCACCACCACCACCAGACTCACAGTGTGAGGCCCCTAACCTTCAGTACTTCAACAGGACTGGATGAGGAGACAGTGTCTTCAAAGAGGTAATTAAGTCCCAAGGACACTATCAGGCTGGGTCCTAATCCAATATGGCTGGTGGCTGGTAAAGACTGCAGATTAGGACACACAGGATTTTTTCTTTTCTTTCTTTTTTGCAATGCTGAGGCTTGAACCCAGGACCTACCACATGACAGGCAAGTGCTCTACTGCTGAGCTACTTCCTCAGCCCCAAGACACATGATCACAAGGACTGAAGACCATGTGAAGACAAGACAGCCACCTATAAGCCAAGGAGATAAGGCTCCCAGAAACAACCGCACTGTGGCCTGGATTTCCAGTCTCCAGAGGATGAAGACAACAGATCTCTGTAAAAGCCACCCTGTCTGGCTTCGGAACCGGAGGTGGTAGTTGGGGGAATGTGGTATTCACACACACACACACACACACACACACACACACACACACACACACACACACCAACCACCTCAGAGATGGGGCCCAGCTGTAAACAGCGTTCACTTTTGTTTTACACACAGTATATACACATCGCCTGAAGGTGATTTTACAATGACTTCAGTGGGCGTGAATTTTGACTGTGACCCATTGATTCCCCAAGTAGAATTTTCCACTTGTAGCATCAGATAGGTGCTCAAAACTTTCAGATTGTGGGGCACCTCCAATTTCAGATTAGATACTCAACGTGTGCTTGGCTGTGGCAACCCTAGTAAACTAAAGGTGGTCATCAATCCGTAAGTGAAATTTACCATCTCTTCTTACAAGGTTAGACCTCTTCTTATATTGAAGTCAGGTATATACTCTTTCTTGCAAACACTTTATACATTTTGTCCATTTTCCTACTGGGCTGCTGACCTTCCTTTAGAGAAACCAGCGTTCTGTATCATGAGTCACCAACACAGCCTTTTCCCATTTGTCTTTAGCTTTTGCTTTTTGGCAGTTCTGCCTTGCAGAATTAGCTTAATGCAGATATGATGACATCAACAGTGACACCATTCACAGGAAAGCTTGCCTTGAACTGTTTGCAAGCACTTTCTAAGTAATCCAGAATTGGTGACTAAAGGCTCAGGCTCTCCACATTGACCTTTGTGAGGCATGGCAGGTATCAGGTACCTCCAGAAAAGTTAAGAAAATACAAGGCAGCAAGAGAGATTCCCCACTGTTAACAAGGAAAGACTTTTAAAGCAAGAATTAGAAAACAATGCTCTGCTTTGCATCTGCACTGCATTCGAAGCCGTTTTTGCAGCTGTGACCAAAAGACCTACCTAGGACAATCTTGGAGGTGGAAACGTTTATTTGGAGCTCAGTTTCAGAGGTCTTG